GTGAGGGCACGTACCTTGTATTGGCGATGGTCTGCATGGGCGACATCTTCAAGTACTTCGGGCTGCCGCTGATGTCAACAGTTGCATTGTCTTTTTGTAGTCTGTARTAGCTGTGTAGGAGTAGGCTGGGCGCTGAGCGCCAAGTGTGAGTGTGAAGGAACTGGACTCTTGTGTTGGGAGGAGAGAGTATGCTCTCCATGAACATTGGTTTTCAGTGCTACGAACCTCCATTGGTGTATTATTGGTGCAATGCTGCTCTCTGGACACAATGTGACTATTTGGCTTTCAATGTGATGGTGTGATCTGGAATTGACATCTCACTGTTACTTATTTCCCTTGCTATTTGGTATCGGAGCTGGTTCATATTGCGCTTCATTGGTTCTTCGCAATAGCTATTGGTGCTCCGGATGAGGTGTGGGGCAGTGATAAGGCATTGGCGTTGAATGTTGACATATGCTGGATGATGAGAACTCGCTGATGTGGCATATTAAGCCGAGGTGGAACCGCATTCTGCTGTTGGTTGTGCTGAGGCAAAGACCGGTCATCATAATTGCACATCAGGTTGCCGGTGAGAAATCTGTGGTTGGGGGCAGCATTTATGAGGTGCGTTGCTCTCTTCCTTATCTACCCTCTTCAYYKCTTCTTACCGTGAGGAAGTGAGTTCTGTCTTGAGAGTCCTCTCGATGTGAGGTGTCRCGAGCGCTCAACCTTGAGAGTCRACATTCTTCCTGGGCAGCAAGCTGGTGGGAGACGGGCGAAGCCTCTGAAGGGCCCTGGACGAAGCACTCGGGTCACGGTCACCATGCCAACCCGTTGGGACTAGTACACGCATGCTTGGGCTGCAAGTCCTTGGTTCTGCTGCTTGCGCTATAGAGGTCGTGCCGGGCATGCCAACCTTTTATGAGACGCTTACCAGACCGTCTATAAATATTTCTGGTTGGGGACTCGGATTGAATCTGGCTGTGATCGTCGTCCTGACTGCGACGTTAAATAATTCCTGAGGAGATGGGAGTTCTCCTAAAATTCCTCCTGATCAGCCAGACAACCGGGTATAAGGCTCGTTCCCTGGCTGGCATGTTCGGCAATGACTTGGGGCACAGCAGTGGGCCGGATTGCACACCTTCCGGCACGCTGCTCAACCAGATGCTCAGGAACGTTGACACAAAGTGACTACTCAAGAAGGATACAGGGGGAGGGGGGATTCCGGTAACTATTCACAGTGGCAATCAACTATCAATCTGCCATCCAGTATACATCTCCATCAGGAGATGTTATTTCTATCTTTGATTAGTTAGTTGTTACAGACTTTGCTGAGAACTGACAGACAGTTACAAACAGACTAGACTCTTTGCTGTAAAGTGATTTGTATTAGACTAATCTAAAAATAGATGTGATATATCCTGTAGGACCTGACATTAGTTGTGACTATATCACCTAATTGTTTCTGTTCCCGCTGACCGATAATAGTTGTATATCACAGACGGTTGTGTCACGCTAAGGTAGGATTCAGTGTGAGTTCTAGTTTAGATCACACACACCGTAGCTCATGAGTGAAGACAGCGGTGAGGAAGAGCAAAGGCTAGTGCAACCCATTCGGATCACATGGAGAACCGCTCTTTGTCAACCATTGACTTTCTTGGAGTTAAGTCCAAGAGAGGAGAGGAGGCTACGAAGGGAAGCTAGGGAGAGAGCAACGGCCAGGAGGAATAGGGACGCAGCAGCCAGCTTAGCGGCTGCAATGGCTACCGCCTCTTCGACATCGCAGTCCACCTCCCAATCTTCTTTGTCAGGGGCTGGACAAGGTCGATCGGGTACAATTAGTCAATCTGTTGGCTTGCAAATCAGCCAACCGGCTCTACTCACACCTGAGGACATAGAAATCCAAAAGCGGAAGAACTTCAGAATGAGTTACGGCGGCAGTTGGACGAAGCATCAGAGAGGAGAAGAAAAGCAATCATGAGGAAGGCCAGATTAGAGAGTAGGATGGAGGCACTAGGCAGACTAGAGGACCTAGATGAGTCGACATTAGAGTCTGCGGGACGCGTGCTGCGTAATGCTGTCCTATCTATAGCAGAAGCACAGACAGTTCAATAGGAACTGTTGACTGATCTAGTGGCAGGGCAGAAACAAATTATGGATGCACTCCGGGCTCCTCCTCCAGTGATGAGGCAGCCGCAGTTTGCTGTAGTTCCCCCTGTAGGTGCGGGTCCATCATCGATGCCGCCACATACAGGGCAAACTTTCTCTCCTATGTTTGGCATGCCCCCTCCAGGTGGTTTGGTAGCAACTAGTGGTCCGGTTCCAAGAGTCTTTGCCGTACCATCCACGACAGTGGTAACTACAGTCCCACTGTCAAGCCAAGCCCAAGTTAGTGTGCAACAGCCTGTTTCAGTGGCTATGCAGCCGCTGCAGCAAGCCCCTGGGCCCATGCAGCCTATGCAGTGGATGCCCAAGATACCTTTGATGAGTCCCAAGCCTTTCTCTGAAGATAGAAAGGAGGAAGACTTGGACACCTGGGTGAGGACTGTGCCTACTTATGTGAGGCATAAGCTCACAAGGCCAGAGCAAGAAGTTCTAGTGGCTGCCTCCTTTTTAGAGGGGTCGGCAGCCCGCTGGTTGAATGGCTTAGTGCAGCAACAGGGCTACGGGCAGGATTTCGATGCCTGGGCTCAGGCTCAGACATTAGAACAGTTTGTACGGTCTGTCTACAACAGGTGGCATGACCCGCAAGGGGCTCAAAAGGCCACCGATGCTATCAACAACCTTTGTTCCCGCAGGTTCAAGGATGTTAGAGAGCTTACGGACACCGTAGAACGCCTTCTCGTGGTACCTGGTGTGCGCTTTGACCAGCAGGTTCTCTTGACGGATTACCTAAGGTGCCTACCTGCAGAGGTAAGGACCAAGCTGGTCGATGAGGCCTATGTCGAACAGCACACCTTCACTTCGTTTAGTAAGAAAGCTTTGGACATAGAGGCAAAGCTAGGGTCTGCGCATAGGGCATCTCAAGATGGTAGGAAGAGACTACCCCAGGACTGGAAGAAGAAAGGTCAGTTAATGTTTGTTGACCATGATGGTCAAACGACGGAGATTGATGAATTCCCAGACCTTAGTTTGACAGACCAGGATGGGGCCAGTGAGACTTCGGATGGGGGAGTCATGGCACCCATCAAAGAAAAGGCTAGGGGGACCGGGAAGAAGAAGGTAGGACGGTCCACGGGTCAGGGCGACCAAGGGACACCCGCATGGGTGAAGCTTGGTTTAGATTACGAGGTTTGGAGTGACCGCGTTGCTAGGGGTACATGCATGAACTGTGGCCATTATGGTCACACGTCCACGACTTGCCACGGCAAGAAGGTCACAACAAAGGTAGCCTCACCAACGGTGGTGGGCTTATCTTCAAATCCTGGGAGTGCTTCTGCGAGCAGCTCACAAGGAAACACCTCGGGCCAGTAGGAGTGTTAGCCGCTATTATTCATGCTGAAGTGGTAACGTTGCCTTCCCCACTTCAGGCGTTGGCCAAGGCTAGTGACCCACGCATCGCCCCGCAGACACATTCAGACCCACTGACGCTCTGTTCGAGAGATGTGTCTGAGGCCCTAGAAGAGTTAGAGACTGAGTGGTCAGGGAAGGACCCCACGGACTCTTAGGCGATGATCAGTAGAGGTCCAAAGGGTGAACATTTCGTGGTAGAAGTAGATGTAGGTGGCCGCAAGGTTGGCGCCTTCGCAGACATAGGCTCTACACGAAATTTCATCAATCGTGCTTGTGTGGATAGACTGCGCTTAGGGGACCAAGTGCAGCGGCTTAGCAGAACTGTAGCTTCTACGCTAGCCAACAAGCACCAAATGGTTGTAAAGGACTATGTCAAGGACGTAGCCTGCACCTTCTCCTATGGAGGAGGGAAAGTGATCCACAAGATCTCCTTCTTGGTGAGCGACGAACTGCCATTCGATATGCTACTAGGCATGTACTACCTCGAAGTCTCGCAACCTCAGTTTGACTGGGATAGAAAGGTGTTGATCCACAAGTTGCCCAATGGTAGAACTGTTAGATTGCAAAAGTACAAAGCTAGCAGTCTAATAGAAAACTACGGGTGTATGTGCGCTTCCTCCTTCTATAACTACTATAACCAGAATCGAGAGGAGGGCATGTATCTAGTCTTTGTCTCTGAGAAAGGGGAGGCCGTTAAATCACCAACAGAGATAGAAAAAGTCGTCGCACAATATTCAGACCTTTTTGAGGAGCCCACAGGCGTGGTAGAAAGGGAGGTTGTCCATGCAATAGAGGTTGTCCCAGGTAACAAGGTGCCTAGAGGAAGAATCTATAGGATGTCTCCTGCGGAGTTAAATGAGCTTCGCCGCCAGCTCACGGAGCTCACAGAGAAGGGATGGATACGGCCTAGTACCTACCCGTACAGTGCGCCGGTCTTATTTGTCCCAAAGAAGGGAGGTCCGTTAAGGATGTGCATTGACTATAGGGGCCTCAATGCCATCACCGTTAAGAACGCGGAGCCCCTACCCCGCATTGACGACCTCTTGGATAGAGTGCAGGGATACCGGTACTTCACAAAGATAGATCTAAAGTTCGGATACCATCAAATTGTTGTTAGACCTGAGGACCAGCACAAAACCACATTTCAGACTAGGTACGGCCTGTACGAGTTTGTGGTGATGCCTTTTGGCCTATGCAATGCGCCTGGTACGTTCCAGCACGCGATGAACAGGATTTTTCATGACTACTTAGACAAGTTTATCGTCGTGTACCTCGACGATATTCTCATCTTTAGTAGGACTGTAGAGGAGCACGCTGAGCACTTGAAAACAGGGCTAGGTCTCCTAAGACAGCACCAGTACAAGGTAAACTTGGATGAATGCGAGTTTGGTCGCACCAAGATCTTGTACTTGGGTCATGATATTTCAGCAGCTGGATCGAGGCCGGAAGATGCAAAGGTGGCCAGCATACGTGACTGGCCTAGACCTCAGACTGTTATTGAGGTCAGATCGTTTTTGGGGATGACGGGTTATTATCGTTCGCTTGTGAAGAATTATAGTACTATAGCTTCCCCATTAACATATCTAACTCGACTTGACACCCCTTGGGAGTGGACTGGAGAGTGTTAGGCAAGCTTCAAGAAATTGAAGTATGCTCTAACACACTATGAAATTCTCAAACTTCCTGATCCTGACAAGCCATTTGTTGTGACCACAGACGCCAGCCAATATCGCATAGGCACGGTCCTTGCGCAATAGGAAGGGCCCAAGTTGAGACCGATCGAGTATATGAGCAAGAAGATGCCATCACAAAAGTTAGCTAAGTCCACGTATGAGAGAGAGCTTTACGCCCTATTTAGAGCGCTAGTCCATTGGACACACTACCTCCTAGGAAGAATCTTCTATGTGAGGTCTTTTAAGACACAGCCTGTGTTGCCAGACGCACTCAAGAGATCGATTCAAGTGATAGACATGTATGACTATCAACTTGATCCTATCAAGGGTACGTACAACAAGGTGGCTGATGCGCTATCAAGAAGGGCAAATTATCTGGGCGCGCTAGTCACTGAGTTTGGCATATCTGACGAACTCACTCGATCGCTGGTGGAAGCCTATCAAGGAGACCCAGTCATGTCAGAAATCATCCGTAGATTCCAAGCTAAGGACAAGAAGACTTTGGATGAATTTACGATGGTAGATGGCTTGCTGTTCCTTGAGAAGGCAGGGAATAAAAGACTGTGTATCCCGTCTAATGAGTCTTTACGTAGTTTATTTTTAGGTGAGTGTCATGACGCAACTGGTCATTTTGGATATAAAAAGACCTCAGCTAACCTAGTGCAGAGATTTTGGTGGCCCACTATGATGCAAGATACAAAAAGGTATGTTGAAACTTGCCAGGTCTGTCAAAGGGACAAACCTAGGACTCAGGATCCACTTGGGCTCATCAAGCCCTTGCCGATTCCTGAAGGCCCTCGTCAAAGTGTGTCCATGGACTTCATGGATACTCTCGTGACCAGTAAGTCTGGAAAGAGGCACATCTTCGTGATACTGGACCGCTTTACTAAATATGCAAGACTGATCGCTATGCCAGAAACTGCGAAAACTGACTATGTCATCAAACTGTTTCTGGATCACTGGGTTAGAGATTTTGGACTGCCCACATCAATAGTGAGTGATAGGGATGTAAGGTTTACCAGTGAACTATGGCAGGCAACTGCTGAACAAATGGGAACTAAGCTCCAAATAACTTCAGGGAATCACCCTGAGTCACATGGTCAGGCAGAATAGATGAACCGGGTAGTACAGCACCTGCTTCGGCATTATATTAAGCCAAGTCAGGATGACTGGGACGAGCAGTTACCTCTCGTTGCCAGCCTATCCAATAATGTTGTGCATAGTACTACGGGTATGACTCCCAACCAGTTACATCTTGGTTGGAAACCCAGAACTGCGCTTGACTTTCTGCTACCAGAAAAGCAACCCACTGCAGCCCCAGGTAGCATTGAGTATGCTATCAAGTATGAACAAATGCTAGAGAAGGCAGTGGAACACATTAAGAAGTCTCAGGATGCTATGATTGCATCTGAGAACAAACATAGATGGCCTTCTAACTTTCAGGTAGGTGAGAGAGTCTGGGTGAGGTCATTTGAACTGAGTCAGGAGATAGGGATCTCAAGAAAGCTGATGCCACAGTACTTTGGGCCCTAGGAGATCTTAGATATTGTAGGAGATCAACCGGATGGGCCTTCATACGTGATTCGCATCCCTGCACACTTGCAGACTTATCCTGTTTTCCATGCATCCAAGCTGGCACCTTTTGCTGCCACAGACCAGTTCCCCTCTCGGAGATCAATACTGCCCCCAACCATGGATGGCGAAGTGGACATTGACCAGATCGTCGAGCATCGAGTGATGCCTGTTCCTCGACCATAAGGCAAAGGGCGACCTCCTAAACCGAGAATGCAGTATCGGGTGAGCTTCAGACATCATCTCAATCCCAAGGAAGATCGCTGGTTCACACGAGAAGAACTCATGAGAACAGCGCCTCAAGCGCTTGCAGGCTATGAAAGAGAACGGAAAGGGAAGATGTCTGCACAATAAGAGACTTCTTAGAGGACTCACGAAGTCAACGAGGAGGGAATGCGAGGATCAGGGTCCTCGGTAGGCCTATTGGGCCCTGTTTGCAGCCTTACCCGCCCTAAGCGAAGGCGGAGGTGCCCGCCCTAAGTGAACGCGGGCCTGGCTTTTTGCAAGAGGCCCTCGACTGTCAATTTCATATTTGGGGTCCAGGCAGTTGCGAC